TTAAAAGATAATATCTGTCAACTCTTAGATCTGAAAGTCTCACATGAAGAAAGTATTTCTGGTGAACTTTGCAAGAGGTTCATATCTGATTAAAAATTACTTTAAAGTCTCTAAATATTTATAAAGATTGAAACAATATGATGGTGTTGATGGCATTTTTTACTTAATATTTTTAATTACTGTAATTGTGTTTTAGATAGAGAATGTGACAAAATCCTAAATAGTGCATGCTACCCTTAGCAATAAGCTAAGGGTCACAAATTAATGCTAATTAACTCAAAGCTGTAACAAAGGGCTCTTTATGAGGCCTTGATAATGCATACCAAAAGTACTTAGAGAGGCACTTTTTATGTGTGATATATTACTACTCTATATTTTACAGCTGCTGATGAAATCAGTATCTCTGAGAGCAGTCACAAAATTTAAAGAAAAATTACTACCTGCTGGTCTTAGGAGCATCAAATTGAGTTTTAGAGCTTTACTCTCATCAACATATAACAGAAAGTGTTTCATACCCACTATCAAAGAGGCAAAAGCAAAAACCTGTGTAGCGTCAAGATAATTTCTTTGTTTCTCATTGTAGGTAGGAAACAATGTAACACAGGTTTTACATATATGCTAGCCTATTAGATAAAGAAGGATGAAGAGGCTGGTCAGCCTCACAACCCTTAAGCACTATGTACAAGACAGTAGCTGGATGTCCAGGATGAGTATTTTTATTGAGGTTATCTCAAGATTTTACCAAGTCAGATATTTTAAGTCAGATTTATATTTCTTCAAACAGGTTGTGGCATCCTAAAATGTGTTTATGAAATGTTTTTTTTATTTTTCACCTTGTTTTTTTACTTTAAACAGTCCCTATTATAATCTTTAAACATTATTATTACCTCATTATTATCTCCTACAATTAAATGAGGTTTTTTTTTTTTTTTTTTTTTTTTTTGCGGTCAATAACAAAATATTTATTATAATGATTTTTAAAAACTGTTTAAACTTCCATTTTTTGTGGTTGCTTTTATTTGTGGTTTATTTAAACTTTCTTGAAGTTTTTACAAAATTCGCATCTGAAAGCATTTTGTTTAAGAAAATTAAGCTAATTAAGCATTTAGTTAGCTTTTAGTTTTTATTTTACTTTTATTTAAATGTTTAGTCAATTAAGTTAAAGTTTATTTTAAGATCAAATAAGAACTTCAGTTTGCCAAATATGATTTTCATTTAAATATTTATAGTATTTCATAATACTATGAATATTTAAATGAAACAGAATTCATTAAATAAACACATTTTGAATTTTTTGGAAAGTCTAGTGGCTTCATCCAAATCAAATTAAGAAGTGTTGGGTTTATTTTTATTAAATAGTTGAGCTTGAGTATGTTCATTTTGTATTATTATAGGAAAAAATTATTTTGAGTATTGGAAAAAATTACTTTGAGTATTGGAAAAAATTACTTTGAGTATTGGAAAAATAACTTTGAGTATTGGAAAAAAAAACTTTGAGTATTGGAAAAAATAACTTTGAGTATTGGAAAAAATAACTTTGAGTATTGAGAAAAAATTACTTTGAGTATTGGAAAAAATTACTTTGAGTATTGGAAAAATAACTTTGAGTATTGGAAAAAAAAACTTTGAGTATTGGAAAAAATAACTTTGAGTATTGGAAAAAATAACTTTGAGTATTGAGAAAAAATTACTTTGAGTATTGGAAAAAATAACTTTGAGTATTGGAAAAAATTACTTTGAGTATTGGAAAAAATAACTTTGAGTATTGGAAAAAATAACTTTGAGTATTGGAAAAAATAACTTTGAGTATTGAGAAAAAATTACTTTGAGTATTGGAAAAAATAACTTTGAGTATTGGAAAAAATAACTTTGAGTATTGGAAAAAATAACTTTGAGTATTGGAAAAAATAACTTTGAGTATTGGAAAAAATAACTTTGAGTATTGGAAAAAATAACTTTGAGTTTTGAGAAAAAATAACTTTGCGTATTGAGAAAAAATAACTTATATAATAAATTAAATGACATTAAATTAAATAACATTAAATTAAATGACATTAAATTACTTAACTTAATGTCATTTAATTTTCTTTTTGACCACATTATACTTTTATTCTATTATCCTTGTCAATTTTACTTGTGTCATATATCATATTTTTTATTATTTTTTTATTTTTGTTGTTAAATTAGTCGTTATAATGACTTTAATAGTTGCTTCTTGCTGAGATCTCATTGCTTTTATTTTTTAGATGTTTTAATTAATTTTTTGGTGTACTTATTAAAAAATAAATTAAAAGTTATTGTCAAATAACTATTTGGCTTAAGGTATTATTTATGTATTTGGGGGTATTGTTTATATATCTAGGGGTATCTTTTCATTTTTTATTGCAGGTCCTTTTTATTGTAAAGAGAAAAATTATTATTTTATTGTTAACCCTTTCATGCCGGAATTTTTTTGACAACTTAAAAAATGCAATATTATGTCACGTTAACACTTAAATGTATTAGTTTACTTACAAAACAAGTTCTACAAAGTGTATATAGTTGGAAAGCAGACAAAATTTGGAATCCAAAAATTAAAATAAAAAAGGAAAATAATATAAACTGATGACGTCTGCATCATTTCATATTTAAATACTACTCTACTAAGCCTTTTAAATGCCTAGATATGTTGTTTTTAAGTAAATAAAGGCTTTTAAAAAGGTGCAAATTTTATAAAGCTTTCATTTGATGGGTTACTTTTCTGATTTAGATGACTAAATAATAAATAATTAACATTTTTCTCTGATGGCGTGAATTTTTTTATTTTTTTATTTTTACCTGATTTTATTATTCAATAAATTAAAAAAAATACCTCAAAAGAAAACTTCAAAAGAAAACTCACTAATTTGATGGGCTACTCTCCTTATTTAGGCAGGCAGAAAATTTACACTTACATTAAATTTACAATTTTTTTTAAAAGAAAGAAAATATTTTCAAGTCTTTTTTATTTATTATATTTATTCAACACAAGTGAATATGTACATAAAATGTTTAAAATATGAATGCCACATGTTCCAACAATTGAAAACTGAATCAAGGCATAAATGGAAATTGTAAAATAAGCAAAAAACATGTGATCTATGAATACCTATTAAATGGCGCTGGGACTGACCAACTAAATTGGCTTGTAAAATCTTTTCAGAACAATTTTTGCAATCTCTTAGCTAATTGTTCACCAAAGATTTATGAATTCCAACATTTGTGTATCGTAATGTTATGTGTTCATTTGAATTACTAGGTCTTCCACTATTTTTAGATATATTATTTCCTACTAATTGTTCAATAAGTTCTTCACAAAATCTTTAATGACTGCAAGCATGATGGTCAGTAAACCAAGACTCAAGTACAAAAGCAATATGAACACATATTTCCAATAGGTGGTAAAAGATTCGCCTATACCATTTATTTGATTTCCTTCCACAATTATAATACTTTACATTACTTTACAAAAAGATGTGAAAAAAACCATTGTTTTTTGTCTCCAGTAATCATGGATGCGAGGAAGTTTTATTATTCCCATCGCTAAACAAATTGTTATAAATACTTTGATATCATTTGAGGTAAAATCAACCCATATCCTTCTATGTTTTATAGGAAAAGATTGTAACCTTCTTTAATAATAGTGATTTGTTCCAGTTTTTTTTGTATTAAAGCATTATGAAAAAACAAATCAAATAAATGTATTGGTTTGATATTGTCATCACAATTAGGTATTGCAGATTTTCTAAACATTGGTCATAGTGTAGCCATAAATGGAATAAAAGTCCGAGTAATTTAAATTTTTTTCCATTCTCTGTTGTCTTTACTAATATTAGATTTCTTAGTCTTAATGGTATGAAGTTTTTTATTTGTTTTGATAAAGGTTCATTTTATAGTTGGAGTTGTTGTTTGTTTGTGTATTTTTTTTCCTTATTTACAGTAATATTGTTATCAGCAAATGTAATTGTATATAGCCCTTTGTTATCATTATTTCCTCAGTTATTAATAGCAAAGTCCAAAATCTGTTTTTTCTGTTGAATCATCTTCAGAACTAAAATAATCATCATACAATGACGATGAAATTATTTCTGATGATGGTGACTGACTTGCTGACGATGGAGCTGTTTGTGAGCAAATATTTGAAAAAATTGAATGTTCACAAGACAAATTACTAACATCATGTAATTTATCAGAGATTTGAAGAACTTTATTTGGATCATTTATAATTCTATTTCTTCATTTATAATTCTATTTCTGCAATAAGAAGTCTAACAATTAGATTTATTTTTGTCAATTATCTTTAGTGTTTTAAAAAACAATCCGTAAATTAATAGTTCCTTTCTCTCCTAGGTTTAATATATATGTTTATGAGCACAAAAGGTTAATATTTAATGCTAAATAGGATTGATCAATAACTTTTGGAGAGATATTTTGATTGGTATATTATAGGCGCACATATGTGCGCCTTCGGCATGAAAGAGTTAGTTGTTTATATTAAGTCTTTGTGTTAAAATATTTGTGTGAACATTTTTTCATTTTCTTCTTATACCAAAGATGAAGTTAAAGTTATTTTGACTTTTTCAGAATGTTTCTTGTTTTTCTTGTGGTTCTGCTTATAATATTTCAAATGAATATGAATGTTATACTTGATTTTGCAGATGCTATTGGGTTTTAAGCGATTTTTAGTGTTGTCTAACAAACACTATGTTGATAGAACATCATACATTTCATATCTGGACACAAATTGGAAGCAAAAACAAGTGAAAAATTTTAATTGCTTTAAAAAAGTAATCCCAAATTTTTTTTTTGTGTATCCAATTCTCATCACTCCTAATCACTCTATTTATTTATTACTTGTTGATATTTATTTATATTTAGATATTTAGATTATTTGTAAATACAAATAAATATAATTGGGTTAATATGAATAAATATTGGTACTGTTGGATTTATTTATGCTTTTTTATCTTTCAAATTGATAGGAGTTTTCACTTCATGCATAATGAACATGGTTAGTGTTGTTGTTTTTCTGCGATCTGGATGGATGATTGTAAGTTTATTACTTTTTTTTTCTTTTTTATTAACGAAATTGAGTTTGTTTTTTTATGTTTCATTATTTGCATTTGAAGATTATTATTTTATAGTAAAGTTAATTGTTTATTATTTTTGCAATAACATACAGTTTATATTTTATCAATAGTAAGATAATATTCATAACTTTTTAATAGGTTAGATCTTTATTCAGCTTCCTATTTGAAGCCTCTTTCTCAGCTTTCTAATTGTAACCTTTTTCTGAGCTCCTATTTATATCCTCTTTTTCAGCATCTTATTTGTAACCTCATTTTTCGACATAGTAACTGCTAAGGTGACAGTGTGTTGTCTTGATGAAGCTGGATTTTCTTTTTCTGCAAATGTGGCTATTTTCTCACAAGTTCTGCCTTTAGCTAGTCTAGTAATGATGGGTAGTATGCTTCTGTAATGTAATGGTTTTACCTTTTTGAAAATAATTGATTAAAATAACTCCATAACTATCCTTAAAAACAGCCACCATTACTTTCCCAGCTGAAAAAAAACAGGTTGTGTTTTTTTTGGAGCTGGTTCCCACCCAGCAGTCCACTATTTGGACTGTATTTTTGTTTTGAGCATATAATTGTGTATTCACCTGCAGTAATTAACTGGCGCCAAAACTCAGATTTATTGCACCTAAACTGCACCAATAGAGTGTTGGAAATGTTCATTCCAACATGTTTTTGGTCTAAGGTTTCAGCTGCCCAAAATTTCACTGTAGTAAATGATGGTAGTGAGTTACCATACACAGAATCCAACTCATCTTTGATTTGTGTAGGTGCGTTGCTTTTCAAAATATTTATTGATAGCTCGATAATCAATTTTGACCATTTTCACAAAAACATTCATATCAACTCAAACAACTATTACATAACAACTGCACATCAAAAATGGATGAAACTTTGGTGAGTAGCTGTCAATAGATGAACAACAAAATTGACTAGCTTTTAATTACAAGTGATGCCATCTTTTTAATAAGGTCAGAAACTTTTCAGACCAATGATTCTTACAACAATAATTGTTTCTACTTGCCAGGGTTATTGCTTTGCTGGGTTATTTTTACTGACAATGATTTTTTTTTTACTTACTAGGGTTATGCTGAGACTATTTTTATTTACAATAGGATTTTTTTTACTAACTAGGGTTATAATCGGAATATCTTTATTTACAATGGTAGAATTTATTTTTAATTAATTGGGTTATGCTGGGATTATTTTTACTTACAATAATAGGATTTTTTTTACTTACTAGGGATATGCTGGGATTGGCTTATCACTTTTAATTGTTCTGCTCTCGTTCTTGATTGCTTTTGTAACACTTTTATCTGCAGTTGGCATATTTGAAAAATGTTGTGTTACCAAAGGAGGCGTATACTTTCTTATAACACATGTTCTTGGTGGTAAAATTGGTGGAACCATTGGGTTATTGTACTCAATTGGAAATGTATAACTTAGTATAACTAAAAATTTAAATGTATACAATATTACTTTTGTAAAAGTATTGAAATTAAAGTTAAAATAAAAGTTATTATAAAAGTTATATATATATAGTTATAAATATTATAAAATTATTTTGAAATTTTTTAAAGGAAAAATTTTTTTAAATTTTATTAATGACACTAACAGATTTCAGTATTTTAGGATATCTTTTCAATTAATTTGAATATATTTATTTATATTATAGAATTATTTTAGTGTCTTAATAAATTTTGATTACATGTAATAGTTGATATTAATTTTTTTGGTTCAATATTTTTACAATGGTAACATCATATATAGATATGCTAAAATTATATTTAGAAATTAAAAAATGAAATCTAGTAGTAATTACACTTTTAATAAAAATTAGAATTTAAAAAATTGAAAATATTTAATTTATAATTTTAGGCAACAGCTACCTCATTATACTGTACAGGTTTTGCTGAGTCATTATGTCAACTAGCCAATTGGAACAATAAATGGTCCATTTGTTTAGTTAGCATAACTACTTTGTTTGTAATGTTAAGTATTGCTATATCAGGTGTAAAGTGGGTTGTTCGGTTTCAGTTATTGTTATTAGTTATTATTGCTGCTGGTATTATGGATTTTGTTATAGGCACTCTAGCACTCAGTAAGCCTGGTAAGTAGTTTGTATATTTGATTCAAAAAAAAAAAAAATCATTTATATGTATGGTTAAACCAAATGGATAAACTTTCATTTTAGTTTTACAGAAAATTAACTGATGAGGTCTGTATAAGTTATCTTGTGTAATTATTTAAATTCCATCTAGAGATAGGTTTTACTGGATTTTCTAACTACAATTTCAAGGAAAATTTAAATGCACAGTTTACAGACCAGATCACTTTCTTTGTTGTCTTTGGTGTTTTTTTTCCAAGCGCATGTGGAGTAATGGCAGGCATTAATATGAGTGGAGATTTAAAAAATCCGGCTGAGAATATTCCTGAAGGATCAGTTGCTAGTCTTGGAACATGGTAAGTAATTTAATTTTTCTTTTCTTTATAAAAAAGCTACTAAAGTACTGCTCTTTGTTTAAAAATTTTTGTGATATATTAACTAGGGTGTCCCACTTTTAACCTGACCAAAAAATTTTTGAATGCACCCTCAATTTTTGATGTGCATCTCAATCATCCTTATTTGGTCTCAGGACACACCAAAAAAAATTTTTGGTCTCCAAGTCAAGGGGTTCCAGTACAAGGTATTTTCATATGTGAGGTTGCATTTAATTTTTTGCCCCCTCACCTTTTTTGGCGCCCCTGATTTATGATTGAACTGTAGAAAATTGTCCATTTTTCAGTTATTTTTGTTCTGAAAAAAAAATCTTTTATTTAACAGTTAATATTAATACAGATTGGCAAATAAAGACAAATAAACTCAAAAATTACATAAAATTTACATAAAATCGCTTTTTTTTATGTCTTTTCCAACCTCTTTTCGTTTTTTTTGCACAACTTGCATGGTATTCTGTAAAAGATCTTCGTCATGACTTTCAGCCACAAAATCCTGCACAACTTTAATGTGGCACTCAGCCCTGTCGTTTACTACTGCTAGATTCTCCATTTGATGTTGAAAATGTCTGTAGGAATCATTTTCAAAGTTATCCTTTATCCATGTGTTTATTACTTCCTTAGTTATACCTAGGTATGTGAAGAGCAGCCAGGACTCCTTAGTGATAAAGTCAGACAAAACTGACATAGGAATCACATGTATTGGAGGGTGAGGTTGTTCCCTTTCAAAATTATCAGGTTGCGGACAATTGAAACCTAGCAGCGTCTGAGCTAGTCCAGCTCTTTCCTTCAGTTCTAAATGTCGATTTGCTATTGAAAGATTAACTAGCTGTGAGGTCAGGTACCAACTGTGATATTCCAAGCTTGCATGGAGCAACTTTCCCAGAAGACCATACTTCGATATGTATAGCTTATTACTCATCATTTCAAAGGCTAGCTTAAAAGCATCCAAATCATGTAATGGAGCCTGGGCCGCCAGAGGAGAATTCAAAAAGTATACTCCATAAATGTGGAAACCAGGTACATGGCCACCAAGGTAAATGACTATTAGCTTTCAAAGAACTTTATCATCTTCTCTTTAAAAACAATATCGTTTTAGGGTTGTTATGCAGAAGTTCTTAGCATCTAATACTCTTTTATGAAAATCGATACCTACCATATATTCCTCTCTTCAATAATTGAAAAAAAGCAACTGATTGACATTATTTTCCCTTTCTCTTATTTCGGGCTAGATTTTTTGAAAATCTTTATATATTATATTTGATGGAAACTTTGTTGAACCTTAATTATAATTCATTGCATGGGAAATATGCCTTTCATATATATGATGTCTTAAATGATAAATTTTGCAACAGTTTAGTACAACAAACTTTCAAATTTTTTTATCAAAATATTTAATTACCTACATAGCAGCCATAGCACAGGACTCTTAAGCACATGATCCAGTTCTCCCAGTGTGGGTAGTCTAAGGGGTCGTCCATAAATTACGTCACGCTTTAAGGGGGAAAGGGGGGTTGGTGGTTTTGTGACGACCCATTCAAAGCTCGCTTCTTAAGTGTTACGATTTTGTGACGAGGGGGGAGTTCGAAAATGGTCAAAAATTGCGTGATGTAATTTATGGACGACCCCTAAGCAAAATTCAAAAGGAAAGAAAAAGTCTTTACATATTTGTTTCACAGGTTTTTTTACCTAGAAAAAGCTTTTTTAATTCATTATTTTAATTAAATCTTAAAATAATACCTGTATGGTGCATATATATGTAGTGGATGCTAAAGTATTTATATTGTTCTTTTACACCTAGTAGTTTTCTGTGGAGTTAAACTTAAATTGCAGGATGTACCTGAGGTTCCTGCTTGACAATCCCTGCTAGTCCTGAGAAAGGTATATCTGATTGGAGGAGTACTTCTGCAACGTGTATTTATCAAGCAGCTCTTCTCATTTCTCTTTCTTACAGCACTCCAACCATTTCTAGTTTGTGGAGATTTACAAGGAAACCTATCATTATCAGCCATTATATATTTTAAGAAATTTTTTATATCTTAAAAGTATATTTAAAAGGAAGATAACATTTAACATAAAAGCAATTACTTGAATAGACCATTAATGCCGCTCAAACAATTTGAAAATTTTGCAAAAACAACATACTTAAATGAATCTTACTTTATTTATCCAAGACATAATATTTCAATTTTTGTATAAAAACCTCATTTTATGTCTTAAACAAGTTCAATTTACATTTTTAATTTACATTTGTTTATTTCTTATACTTTTTTTTATAGATTTCTTGATAAAAATGTCAATTACCTCTTTAAAATAAATAAAATATAGATGCATAAAATAATGATTACTACAGACATTTTCAACATCAAATGGAGAATCTAGCAGTAGAAAAAATGGAGAATCTAGAAGTAGAAAATTTTTTTTGGTCTGGTTAAAAGTGGGACATCCTAATAATAACTCAATAACTATATCGCACTCACTTTTTTTATAGATTTATAATAAGATTTATATAAGTGTTACTGTACCTAAGGTGTATGTACCACATTTATAAAGATGAAAATGGTACTTCACTTTATTCATTGTTTTATTTGAAATAATGATGCAAATATTACTTTAGTGCTGCGCTTTATACAACAATCGTACTGTTTTTGGGATCTACATGTTCACACTATGCTTTGCAAACTGACTACATGATTATGCAAAAAGTATGTTAGTGCTTTATTTATGTAAAAATTATCCAGCAGAGAGAAGAATTTAACTTTCTTTTTATAATATTATACTTACATTTTATAGACATATAAAATATAAACACTAGTTACAAAATGGTTACAAAATGACTCGGTAAGTAACCAATCATTATAATCAAAATAAAATAAACTGTCATTTTAATTAAGTAAATAACTTAATGGTGTAATGGAAAGTTTGTTTATTGAGAGATTTTCCCATTTTATGTGGGGCATTTCTTTTAATTTATGTTTGGTTGAAGCAGTATCTAAAATCTTAAATGAGTTTCAAGACAGATTTTAAACATGTATTTCAATGATTTTTGACAATTAGGCAGATTTTTACACGTATTTAAATGATTTTTGATGTATTCAAATGTTTATATATATAGGATTTTTTATCAGCCCTAAGGTGCTTATTAATCCGAGTTAATTAACAGTCTTTGTAAACAACAAAAAGACAAAAAGATTTACAATAAAATCCTGCAGCATCTCAAGCAGAAAGAATTTAAATTTTAGTTGGTTTTTTTACCCGCAAATCTTCCTTTCTGGTTATCCTTCTAAAATTCACAAACTCAATAAAGACATTTTTCTTTCAACTTTTCTACCTATAGTATCAACAGTCAGGACATACAGCTACAACCTTGCCAAACATCTTTCTCATTTATTGTCTTCACATATACCTATGTAGATTTCTCATTTATTGTCTCCACATATACCTATGTAGATTTCTCATTTATTGTCTCCACATATACCTAAACAATAATTTTCATTTGTTGAAGAGTTAAAGCAAATTAATGTAAATAATAAATTTATTATTTCATATCGAAAGTTTATTTAAAAACATACCACTTAAGATAAAAACAACTTTCTAAAACTCAGTATATGAAATTACTTAGATTTCAACTTTTAAACTCTATTTTCAATTTGACAGAAAATGTTACAATTAAACAGATGGTGTTGCAGTGGGTTCTCTTTTAGTGTCTATATCAGCTAATATTTTCATTGGAGCAAACATGGGTTAATAGTTATCCCTCTTCTAAACCAATTTTTGATAAACGATATGTGGATGATATAATTATCTTTAATTCTGAATAAGAAGCCCAAAAATTAAAAATAAAATAATATTTGAAATTTACACTAAAACAAGAACGAAAAAACCAGATTGCCTTTTTAGATGTACTTAATTAAAAATAAAGTTCCTTTTTGACATCAGTTTTTCATAAAGAAAATTACATAGGTTTGTTACAAAATTTTTTTCTTGCTACATTTCTTTATTTACTAAAAAATTAAATCAAACCCTGATATTTTGGTTTTTGCTGATAAAACAAATAACATTTACTATCTCACAACAGAAAACTATGAAAAAATCTCACGCAACAATATTACTAGTTCCTATGAGAAAGCCCCTTAAAATATGGAAAATGCAATTAATTTAGAAGCGAAAAGTATTATCCTTGATAACAGAATCGAATCAACTCCTCCTGTCCAAGCCTTTGTAACACTAAAAGACCATAAACCAAATTTTCAAAACAAACTTCCTTGTAGGTTATTGGTTTCCTCAAAAAGTGAGATTGGACATGTAAGCTAAGTTAAATTGGACAAAATTAATAATATTCTTAGAAATAAATTAAATTTGCAACAGTGGAAAAATACCACTTATGTTATAAGTTGGTTCTCCATAATCGAAAATAAAAATGGCTGTACATTTATTCAATTTGACATTAATGATTTTTACCACTCAATAACTGCAGATATTTTAGATGAAACAATTGAATTTGCGAAAAGCCACACAGTTATTGCTGAAGAAACAATCCGCATAATAAAAAATTGTAGAAAAGCCTTATTTTATTTTAATAAGGAAACTTGGAAAAAGAAAAACATACATGACTGCTTTGAGGTAACAAAGGGCAGTTATGATGGAGCAGAAATTTGTGAATTTGTTGGACTATATACTTCAGATTTATTAAGTTAAATAATCAATATAAATGATTAAGGCCTTTATCGTGACAATCGTTTAACTGTAATGCATAAAAAATCTGGTCCGCAGCTCGATAAAATTAAAAAAGATTCAAAAATTTTTAAAAATATTGGCTTTCAAATCGAAATAAACATAAATTTAAAAATCGTGAACTTTCTTGACATCACATTTAAGCTCCCTGAAAATTCATATAAGCCTTTCAAAAAACCAAACGATGAATTTTTGTATATTAAATTAACTCAAATTATCCACCCCAAATTCTAAAACAAATTCCGATTTCAATTAATAACAGGCTAAACCAAAACTCCTCTAATGAAAACATATTCAATTCCTCTAAACAAATATTTAAAGATGCCCTTAAAAAAAGTGTTTTGAAAATTTTGAACTAGAATTTGACCCTGAAAAAAAGTGTACAAAAAAGCGAAACGGAACTAGAAATGTAATTTGGTTCAACCCCCCATATAGCAAAAAATGTTTCCACTAACATAGGTAAAGTGTTTTTAAAATTAGTCAATAAGCATTTCCTTCCCTCTAATAAATTACATAAAATTTTTTAATCGAAATACAATTAAAGTTACAGTTGCACAAAAAATATGGAAAGAATTATAAAAAGTCACAATGAAACAAAACAAAAAAGAAATCCTAAATGAAAAAACTACAGAAAATTGTAATTGTAAAGAAAAAAACAATTGTCCAATGAGTGGAAGTTGTTTATCTAAAAATGTGGTATATAAATGTGTTGTTTCTTCTAAGAATGTACCTGATAAGCAATATATTGGCATAACAGAGGGTGAACGGAAAAAACGTTTTGCCAATCATAAGCAATCCTTTAAAAATAAAAAGTATTCAAAAGACACCATGCTGTCAAAATATATATGGGAATTAAAAGATAAAAATATTGGTGATTTTATAATGAATTGGTCCATCCTTAAAACAGCACCTGCATATAACAATATTTCCAAATAAAAAATCAGAATTAATTTCTAAATGCAGGCATGAAAATAAGTTTCTCCTAAAAAACTATAAAAACAAGTGAGCTCAAATAATAATTACATTAAATCCCCTCTTTTTAAAAAATGTTTTTTAAAAAAAAGCAGAAGTAATCTATTCTAAAGAATTCTTTTTATAATAGTGTCAGCATATTCCACAAATGTGTGAAAATTTACAGTAGTTATGACATTTGCGACTTCCTGTAATTTAATTTTTTTGGTATAAATTGTAGTTTTATTAATTTGGTCATTCATTTTTGATGAGTCTTTATTGATGAAACAGTGTTAAATGAAAAATTTTTTGTTCTTTATTACAATATTTATGATACAGATACAAATAATATAAAAAAGAAAAAGAAAAGTTAACAAGTCAAGATATCGTTAAGTAATAAAGAATAAAAATAATTATAAAGAACGCGAATACTCAAAGAAGACCATCACGTCTTGTCACAGAGAAACCGCTATTGAACGTTTTTTTTTCAATGTTTTCATTCTTTATATTTATTTATTTTTGTTCAATTTCTTTTTATTACAAAATTAAATTTAATAACAAAAGTATATAAAGTTCATAATATAATATTATAAATAAACATACAATATTTCAATATAAGAGTTCTAAAACGTAAAAACTAAAACATGTTAAATAATTCATTAAAATAAAACATGTTAAATAATTGCTTGTTAATAAAAAATAAATAAATAAAAAAGAATGTACATTAAATATATACATATACTAATATAGATAAAGGATTTTCAAAAATTTAAAAGTATATAAGTATATTTTCAGTTGAAAAAATGAGTTTTTTAAGGTTTTGTTTAAAAGAAACAAAATTACATTCTTGAGAAAAATCTTTAGAAGTATTTAGAACTATACTATTCCATAGAAATGGCCCGCAAAACGAAATAAAAAATTTTCCAAAATTAGTTTGAGAAAATGGTGGTCGAATTAAGTTATCGTTCCTTAGAATATATTTATTTCTATCTTTTTGTAAACACAAGTTACGAAAAGAAATAGGTGATAGGTGGGTCTTGCATTTATACTTAAAACAAAGAATATTAAAAACATTCAACTCATATATATTGAGTGCTTTCATATCATATAAAAGAGGCTTGGCGTGAGCAAAATGGTCCTTAAAATTTATAAGGCGTGCTACATGCTTCTGTTGCCGATAGAGAGGTTTAAGTTTACTTTTATAAGAGCTACCCCAAGCAATGTTTGCATAGTTGATATGGCAATGAATTAACGAATAATATAATTTAATTAAGGTATTTTTATCAAGAACGTTTCTTATTTTGTATAGTATGTCTATACTCTTTGAAATCTTACTGCACAAGTTAGCAATGTGGCATTTCCATGTAAGATTTTCATCGATATATACACCTAAAAATCTTGTCACTAAAACTCTATTAATAACTATGATATCGATAAATAGAAAAGGTAAGTTGCTAGGCAGCTGGTGCTTTTTACCATAAGGATGAAAAAGAATCCATTTAATTTTATCAATATTTAGTAAGAGTTTGTTTAATCTAAACCATTCGGACTAGTTCAATGTTCATATTGCTAAAAAGTGTAATAATGTTATTATGAGAATGAAATAGGTTAGAATCATCAGCAAACACAATTGTCATTAGGTTAGAAGCTTTTGGTAGATCATTAATATATATTAAAAATAGGAAAATATAAAACCATAAAACTTTAAATTGGTACTGTTAAACAAATACTTAGACTCAAATCAAAGCCAAACAATTATTTTAAAAGATATTAGAAAAGCTCAGTTAAGAAAAAATACATTTTTATTTTTTTTCTACTTTGAAAAGAAAACTTAAATACAATTAAGTTAAATTCAAAAAAATAAATACAATTATAGAGAAACAATTTTAAAAAAAGAAAATATGCATGCAGTTTACTTAGAATTCTTTATCAATTTATTAGCAATTTAGATATCTAAACAACAATCATGTGCTGTTTAGACATAAATTATTTTTAGATAAATAAATTGTTTTTAGAATTA